ATAGTAAGTGAGGGTGGGGCTGTCTTGGGTTGCCGGGGGGATGGAGGTGTGTTTGATCGTTCGAAAGTGGAAGGAGAAGTCGTGTGGGTCTTGTCCAAAGTAGTGGCCAAGCGTAAAACTTGGTGTTGAAGAGTGGTTGGTATGTGTTGTAATCTGAGACACTGTTGGTAAAAAGTCTGTTGATGCTCCACGGTTGCTTTGAGCGACGGCAACAATGTTTGGAGCTGTTGGATTCTTCCTGGTAGACGTGGGTCTGGGGTGCTTGTGTGGGATTCTGCTGAGTGTAGCTGTCGAATAGTGTCGTGTAGTCGATTGAGTTGTAGGACCATCAGCCGATTGATCTGAATGTTTGTATCTCGCAGTTGTGAAATGATCTGGGCATCCAAGGCAACGAGGTCTGTCCCAACAGGATCTGAATCCATCGCGATGTCGTCGTCGAGAGAAAAGCTGTACAAGAATGGAAGGCTGAGCTAAGTTGAACTAGCCGAGCTGCAAGTATATCAAACTGCATCAAAGTGTGGATATAAACGCGGTCAAAATCACTCAAAAAGAAAACAAGGAAACGAAAAATCATCCTGTTCAACACTAGGGAGACCATTCAATAGTGATTCGCATGGATGCAATGAAACGATGAAACGATGAATTAGACGGAATAAACTGGTCTGTACACAGTATTGGCGATGCTGTAGTGGTCGAGAGTTTGTCTTGTGTGGCAAGTGTTCAAGCAAAAAGTGTTCAAGCAAAAAGTGCACTGCTGGCGATCAATCCTGTTTTTTGCTGCGCGTGTGAAAGAAAGCTGTAATGGTGTGTTGTGGGTTGGAGTCTATTGCTCGCAACTGCTGGAACGACAAAAAGCAATAAGCCAATATGTAAATATGTACGAGTTGACAATAAAATACCGTACAAAGGCATCAATAGTTCGGGATGTTCTTCAGCACCAAGAAGTCGTGGAAAGCACTGTCTGGAAGATCATAGACTGCTGTTGTGTATTCTATGTCTCTTTGTCAGTCAGATCTGGAGGTTCTGTAGTCATCGTACTGGCATCTTTTGTGGCTGGAGGAGTTGCCTCTGCTTGTTGAGATGCCTTGTGTGGTGATGATGCTTGTGCTTCTGGACTGTCTGGCGGTTGAGGTGTATAAAGAATTCGCAAGACTTGCCATCGACCTTTGCAGTCAAAAGGTGTTTTGTTGAGTGCTTTTGCTATGTATTTCCAACTGGGGCGAGATTTTTTGTTGAGTTTAAAGGCCGCAAGTTTCTCATCTTCACTGGGTTCCCATCCTCCATTGTCAGGATAGTGTGATGAATCCGTGAGGAGGTGCGCTGGCTTGGATGGTGGTGCTGGTGATGCAGGTGGCAAAGGTGGTGGATTCGGTGGAACTGGTGATGTTTGTGGAGGTGTATTGGGCGAACTGGTGAGAGAAATCGTTGTGATTGGTGGTGTACGCTGTTTCGGGAGGACTGTATTGTCCTTGTGTTGGTGAGTCGCTTTGGACTTGTGGCGGTGTGGTGAAAACTGATGTGGTGAAGTGGGCGTATGTGAAGGAGAAGGTTCTGGTTTGCACTCCATGAATGGTTTGCCTTGGGCCGGAGGTGGACTGCGACTGCGTGAGAAAGACGGTTGTGGTTGCAGTGGAGGAGGAGTGTGCCTGGCTGGTCTTGGAGGTGAAGGTGGAGTGGTAGTGAGTGGGTGATGGGCTTGTTGTGGTAGTTGCGGTGTAAATGGTGGAAGGTTTTGAAAAGTAGTAGCAATGGAAGTGGCTGCTTGTAAGTGTGCTAAGAGAAGCCGATGGGCAAATGCCGTGTCCAAAGGGGAAGTCATCGTCGTGGTAGTCGTCGGGAGGCAAATATAGCTCGGCTGGTCGTTAGGTTAGGGATCGAGCTCAATATTCAAGATAATACAAAATGGCTGCGGGGCAGGTTGCAAATCACAGGAAATCTTGCGACTCGCTTCAAAATGCTTGTGACTCTCTTCTTCATCAGAAAGCTTGATAACACTCAGGAATGTTGACATGCTGCAAGTCTGGAAAATTGGAAAAGTCAGTGTAAAAAATCATGTTGTCGGCATCAAACTGTACAAGAATGACATGTCGGAAGAAAAAGAAGTTGACAACGATGTGTGTGAAAAACAGAGTCAATGTCAATATCAAGCGGGCTGGCTGAGATTGTTTGAGGCTAGGTCGTCATCCAAGATACGGGGTGAAAAATGAACCTCGTGAGCGGAATCAATCGAATTAAATGAAACTGAGCGGTGGCCTTGCATCGCTTTTCCAAGCTATCCCTTCGATTCTGGAATGTTTGGGATGGGCTACCCAGCATTTTCCTGGGGTGTATTTTACAATCCCTTCTCCTCTGAGCAGCAAGTCATTCGCTGCGGATTCGCCTCCATGAGTGACTTTCTGGCCGTGTCCATAGGCTTTGATCGTCAGAATGAGACCGCTGCGGTTCTTGGCCATATTGGAAGCATTGAAGAGGACGCGTGCAGCTTCAGCAGCATCATGGGGCTCATAGTTCGACAATTCAAACGCCTGACAAAAATATCCCACATTGTGAGCATCATGCAGAATGGATCGCACAATTTCTCCTGCTTCAAGTATTGAAATGATGTTGCCCTCCTCGCTCACATGTGCCGCAAAGATGTGTTTGATAGGTGGTATGTTCAGCGCCTCTCTCCGTGTAGGAGGAAGAATCGGGGCGTCGCCCCTGCTCGCTAGTGTGGGGATTGTGAGTAGTAGGAAGGAATGATGTTCTTCTTTGTTGGTTTCATCGCACCATTTTTTGTGGGTGAGGAGTTGTAGGTCGGTAAAGTGGGTGCTGTTAAGATGAGCTGCACTGAGCACTTTGGCCACATATGAAAGCATGGGTTCATTGTTGACATCAAGTGCTTGTGCGTAGCGGTTGAGCCACTGAAAGACCTCCAACTGTGCTGGATCTGTAGGTGGTTGGAATGTTGGAGGAGGTAGGTTGTGTGGTCGACGTTGGACTGGAATTGCAGGTATTGGTGCTGGTGGCGGTGGTGGAGGTGTCTGTTGTGTGGAGTGTTTGGGAGTGAAATGTGGGTTGGGCTTGAGTGTAATGCTGGAAGCACGGCGAGGGGGCTCTGGTGTGTGTTTTTCAGTAGCCGCTGTAGTGATGTTTTGGCTGGAAGTGTGAGCATTGTCCTGGGTGATTGCTGGTGATCGTGATGTTTGTCTGTCTGCAGGTTTGGATTGAGCTTGAGAGCTAGCCACGGATTGTGTGGTGGAGCTCCGACGTCTTGGTAGTGGAGAGCGTGGGGTGCGCAGTGATCGAGTGCGGCTCCTGGATCTGGATGTAGCTTGTGATGGTGCAATGGAAGGTACGGCTGGAAAGGCTGAGTAGCGGTGGCGTTCAGGTGTGCGTGGTGGTGAGCGATCTGGGTCGCGCCAAATGCCTCTTGTAGTGCTGAGTGTGGGTGCAATGGATGGTGTTGGCTTGGTAGTGCGTGGTATGTGGTGTGGCGGCGGAGGCTGCACGGGTGTGTTGATGGATGCTAAAGCAGGTTGAGAGGTCGCTGGTGAGGTTGTTGAGGTGTGAGGTGGTGGTGGTGGAGTTGGTGTGGTCAACTGCTGTGAAGTGATTGTTGTTGGATCAGGTGGTGGTGCTTGTAGTACAACAGGTGTTTGTAGTGGTGGTGGTTGAAAAGATGTTGTGGCAGGGGTTTGATCTGTCGTGTGTGGTGATGGATGTAGTTGATGTGGTAGATGTGGTAGATGTGGTTGATGTAGTTGATGAGGAGGTGGTTGAGATTGAGATTGGGACTGAAGTGGCAATGTAAGATGTGTGGGAACTGGGGATTGTGGTGATTGAGTTGTGAGATGTGGATGTTGTTGCGCAAGTTGGGTAGTGCCGAAGGGAGCTGTAGGTTGCACTGGAAAATGTGCCTGAAGTTGATGTGATTGGATGTATTGAGCATGAGGTGGAGGTGTGATGGGCATTGGGTAGTGGTGTGAGGTCAGATGTTGCGGTGGAGTCGGTGGCGGTGTTGAAAAAGGTTGTGGTGAAGCCTGTGGTGGAAATTGAATCCAATGAGGTTGTGTAGGTTGTGGTGGTGGATGGATGTGTGGCGGCAAAGAATAGGGCCAGGGATACGTCATGGCTGCTCGGCAGGTCAAAGACAGTGAAAATATGTAAGTATGTATCAATAAATAATAAATACATAAATACAGGTCCGTGGAGTCGTAAAAGTTGTGAAGTGTATTGAATAACTGAAATTAAAACTCTGGAAAATGGAATTAAAACTTGGAAAGTGAAAAAGATTTGAAAGGTTAAAAAGATTGGAAAAGTATGAATGGATTTCCCGGGTGAAACGCTTTCAGTAAACTCTGCAGTGGGATTCAGAAAGGATTCCAGTGAACTCTGCAGTAATCTTCACGTGTGCTGGGTGAGACGATCCAAGCTGATTTCGAGCAGGTCAAATTCAGTCAAAAGGACTTCAGAGAAAATTCAGGAAACTTACTCCCTCGGTGAGGAGTGAACAGGTTCTTGCGGTAACGGCGCCCCGTAGGGATCACACAGCTCACCACAGTGGGAAGAAGCTGCGAAGACACACTTGAGAAGGTTGCTCCGTGGAGCGTGATTTCAGGTAGCTTCGCGGTGTGCATTAGCCCTTTAGGTGAATACTTAGCCCTTGACTTGATTCAACGGAAAGAAGTGCAAAGTCCGCTCACTTGAATGTTTCAACAAGAAGTATTAATTTAGTGTATATTAAAAATTGCAGGTACACAGTCAGACGTCTCTGACCGCATCCACCGAGCAAGCATAGCTTTGTTAGCCAGCGTTTGCTTGTCGGCCGCTGGCCCCCTGCGTCTGTACAGAAACGCTTGTAGAGTAGATTAGCGAAACTAGGGTAGTGTCCTTGGAAACAGGAGTGGACACACACACACACACATCGCGTGGGATAGTTTGTTTTGCACATCAGAAAAAACATATGGTGAAACACAAAGAAAGAACCAGCGAATGGGTGGGTCCAGGAGCCGCCCTGCCTATTTGGCCCCACAGCTGGTTGTGATGCAGGTGCAGCTGCTGCAAGCCTCCAGTCCGCACGAAGCGGCCGCACTTAAAAACTCACATCACCGTCGCTGTCGTTTGGATCGAGAATCTTCAAGAACAAGCGAAGGGTCAATTCTCGAGAATTCTGGCGTTGCAAAATGTTGGCTTTTGGATCGACTTGGTTTCCAACGAAATCTCGGGCCTCGCCTGCATGGTTGAAGATTGACTGAGGAATCTGTCCGTGCAGCTGATTCTTCTCCAAATGAAGTATCCCTTGCAACGCGTGGGAGGATGGATGATCGGAATAAACTCTTGTCCCGCTTGCGGGCACACGATTTGTGAGTTTGCTTGGGTCACCATACTTTTTGTGAAGTCAATAGCTTTTAAGAAAGAGTTTGTGCACGCTTGTTTCCAGAGCAAGGTCAAAGGGAAACACGCGCAATGCGTCAATGGACAGTGCCCTCAAAATTGGTCCAAACAAAATGCGGTTTTCCCGGACTCCCTGCCTGTAAGTGTAAATTTGTTCCTCTACACCACATCTTATACAAATCCTTTCATGAGGTTTGGATGAAATGCGTATGCGGTATTCCAGTCTGCTCTTCTTCGTGTTTGGGGGCATCAATTCTCCAGGCGGCTGAGATTGGTAGCCAGGCCCAACTCGAAGGGTATCTGTCCCGTGAGCTGATTTTGGGCAAGCTGAAGCAAGGTGAGCTTCTGAAGACTTCCCAGGTCCTAAGATGGGCGAGTTTGCCCAGCCCACCTCCACAGGAGGCTAGAGCACACAGGCACACCCTCCAACACCCGGTAGGCTTCCCCTAGACTAGCATGCATGAGTTGTACAAAGACTAGCTGGTGCCAGCGAGTTTGTGAGTGTGTAAACCTTAGGGTCCAAAGATGTCCAGAGTATTGTGAGCCTGCTGCTTGCTTACCCGGCTTACCCAAAAAACGGAAGGGCTCAACATGTTGAGGGTCGACTGACGGATCAAGGATGATCAAGGTATAGTACCGTGGCCGGTCCTGTTAGGGTCCGCCCAAACAGGGATCGGAGAAAAGGATAACGAAAAGCCTGAGAAGGGGGAAACGAAAGCACGTCCCCCCACGTAGGAAACGGCTCCCAAGGTCTCCAAGGCCAACATTCAATGCACATAAACTAAATAGTCTCTTTAGAGCAGGTTGCTGATGCAAATGATGCACTAACCGTTACTAACCCACTCACCTCACATCTTCTGCATCACCAACCCACCAAGAATCATATCCTTGGCAATGTAAAAACAGCAGCAGGCTAACGTGCTTTACATCCACTAGAGAGACTCACTTCGTTCGCAGAAGATAACTTCAACCTAGCCTATTGGCTGCCTTCGTGACAAACATCTGAGGGAATTTGAGACCATCTTAATGAAGAAGGTAAATAAATGGCATCGAAAAGAATCATCATGACAGCTGTATGCAAGGGCTGCTCTTTTTTTTAGTTAATTAGGTCTCCTCGAGCTCCCGGTTGTCAGAAATCAAAAACGTCTGATTGGCAATTCCTTGGCTCTCGCGGGATCTTCCCCCAAAGCTGATTGCTGTGCAAATTCAAATACTTCAATTCCACCAGTTGCCCCAGCTGAGGAGGGATCTGGCCGCTCAACTGGTTCTGGCTCAAGCTGAGGCCTTTGGAAGCAAAATACATGAATCCTATTCCTGAAGCAAAGTTATGATCCCTGCAGTGATGATCCCTGCTGTGATGTCCCTGCTTTCACTTAGAAAACCGGACCCGTGTGTTGTTTGCTCTGTTGAAAAAGGCTATCTCGCACGAGACAGAAAAACGAAGGAACAAGAAATGCTAAGAGTTTGGTCTACCTCCCGAATGAAACGATCGCCCCTTTTATCAAACCTCAAAAGCCACTCTCGAAAACAAACGAGAACATCATGAGTCCTCCAAAAACAAAGAACACGGGCTTGGAAAACGGTCAAAACGAGAAGCTTTCAAGAAGGCGGAGTTGGGAGATCTCCTGTGGGATCTCACTGCTGAGGCGGTTTTGGTATAGCGCGAGCTGCCGCAGTTGTCGCAAGTTGCCAACTTCTGTAAAGATCGGACCTGTGAGGTTGTTTTGACAGAGGTAAAGCGATTCAAGCACCTGCCAGGGTGCTAGAGCTGAGTCAGAAAAAATGTGAAAACCGATTAAGGTCTTCCTAGGCGGGTGGGCTCATTCCAGGTCTTCCTTGCGGTGAAACCACCCGTTGCGACAGACATGTCTTCCCCCCCATCTTTCACGGCCTTTTCCAGCTCTTCGCGCCTTCAAATTGCCAAGCTCCCTGGGAATCTCACCGCTTAGAAGGTTCTGACGCAAATTCAAATGTGTCAGGAACTTCAGCTGACCTCGGATACACAGCTTGTTAAGGGGTCGGGTATGTGTGGTATTCATGGGGCGTTGCATCAACTTGTCTTTAATGCAAACCTCTCTGATCACGTCTCTCTTTCTACAATGTAGGGCTCCTATGCGCATTGGTTTGGAGGACTTGCAAATCTGACAAAAGTATCTGTGTATGTATTTATATATATAATATGTGATTAGAAGCCTTTTGCATCCTTTTGTATATGTGGTTGTATATGTATATAAACATATCAGGTCTCTATTTGGGGGAAGTCTAACATTACAAGCTGTGGGACAAAGTTGCTTGTGACAACAAAGCGTATGGGGGCTACAGGTCAGTTGTTCTCAACCATATTTGCAGTGACGCGATGATGACTTTATCCACAGATCTTCTCCATAAAAAATACAAAAACATGAAGTGATGGATTATGACAGAATGGGATGAAGGCACGTGACTATCGCCTGACATGGAATCAATTCGGTCATGCAACTAAGGGTTGTGGCCATTGGCAATGCTCACTGTGCGTCGAACAATGAAAAACACCACAAGCTTCTTCGATGAACAAAAAGATCCAAGACCATGCACAAAAATATGCTCCACGGCTACTAGACAGTCACTCTCTCAGGGGACATTGTGGCAAAGAAACAATGTCCAAAGAATTTGCTCAATCACATCAGGTGTCCCAATTCCTTCGGGATCTCACCGGTGAGCAGGTTCTTTCCCAAAGAAAGGACCTTCAAATCTTTCAGTGCGCCTAGCTCCTTCGGAATTCTGCCCGTGAGATAGTTATGGCTTAGTAAGAGCTTCTTCAAGGCCTTCAGCTCTCCAAGCTCCGCAGGGATGTCCCCTGTCAAGCGATTGTCTCGCAAGATCAAATGCTCTAGGCGTTTCAGCGAGCCCAAGGATCTGGGAATCTCTCCACGCAGCCAGTTATCAGCAAGATGGAGTTCCTCCAGCTTCTGAAGCTTTCCAATTTCCCAGGATATCTCCCCCGGAAGGCCTCCTGCAAGGAGAGTTTTCATGAGTTTGCTGAGTGATGCAGCAAGATGTTTTGGGTGTCCTCTTTCAACTGAACGGTTCTTCAAGGCAAGAAGTTCCAGATTCCAAAGTGTTCTTGCATCATTCTCACATGAGAAAGCGGAGAAATGATTCCGCCTGATCCTCTCAGTGTTGGACCCACCCAGATCCTCTATCTGGTCGTCCCCTGCCTCAGGCCCTGCCCCAGGCTCCCCTAATCATTAATCCTTTGAAAAATGAACGAACAATACATGGGAAACCGGGAAGACACGCTCCTAGTTGGATCCCAAAATGTTCCAAATGAATCCATCATCATTGTTCCGACCTGCAGCATGTCAATCCCCAGTCCCTGTGTGTCCCTGTGTCCCCCTCATCACTTCGTGAGGATTCTGCATCAAGTTCCCATCCTGAGATGCCGATGAAGATCACAAAACCAGCATCATCGCAAACCAAACCAGGATAGCCACAGGGTGTTCTGGCCATGGCGTGCGACACATTTGGGTTGATACCAAAACCCAGGAAGATGGCGGCAAGGGCCTCGGAACCGAAGGGCAAGTGTCTTCATTCTGATCACTTGTGTGGGTTCCAATTTTTTTGGGTCATCAAATTGTGTTTCTTTACTGGCCTGGCTGGTCGGAGGAAAAAAAAATATGATGTTAAAACTCTTGTGTAACCAGCACCTAGATCCCTATGGAAGGCCGTTGTTTGCTTTTGTTCACGCGCTTGACTTACATGTGTTGGATCTTGCAGATATCCAAGATGTCATCAGAATGTTCAGGAGTTTGCTCTCATCACTGTTCAAACCTAAAAACTGACAAAACATATCCAGTGAAACAATACATCGAGACATCTGACCAAGTCTTTGGGCACAATCGACGGACTAAACCCAGTTAGATCCAGTTGTTCCGTTTTTTTTGTCCCCATTGACCCATTGACCCATCTTGTCCATCTGCCAAGAGGACATGGTTTTAAATGAGTCATGAAAGTGGCGCCGACCATCTACGTAAATTGAAGTTTTGACTGGGTAGCTGGGTAGCGTCGTTCACCCTTTGCACCAGTTAAAAGCGCGGCAAACTCTGTAGGTTTACACGATTCTGGCAATATGTTGCAAGCGAGCCACATCTCTTTGGATAAAGTACTCAGTCACCTCAATAAGAAACATGATTCGATTGTGAAGCTTGCCACATCACCACATCAGTGAAAGCAAAGCACTGCGAAGTTGAGACGTCTCGATGCAAAACTCTTCGGCAAGCCAAAAAAATACTCTATATACTGTGAGTCTGTGAGTGGTACTTTATATACTGTGAGTGATCCCCACCCTGAAAAGGGATTTGGAAGAAGGCAGAGATCTGGGGATACCCACTGCGATCTGGAGCTTGCTGTTGAGGCTCTGATGTGGGAGTTTTTCTGCGATATGGCGCTTCACTGCAACCTGGCGCTTGCTTTGAGCTGCGGCCAGTGCAGGCGCTGGTTGGTGCGGTGGATGGATTTGGTGCGGCGCATCCGGTCAGGTCCCCCATGCTTAACTTAAATCATTCCACAAGCTCTCTCTTCACTTCGCAGCGCTCCATGGTTTCCTTTGAACATTGCTCAGCAACTATGGCTGCTTTCACTTTTCCAAGCTTCCGGTTCCTCAGCATATTTCCTGGCGCGGAATATCTGTGAAGGAAGTGTGCAATCTTTGACTCAGAAATGACAAGCTGTGAGGAGGTTTGAAATACTTGTCAGAAAATCTGAAAAGGAGGTTTGAAATCTCCTGCCCAGAAAATCTGTGAATGAGATCTCTTGGTCAGCCATGAGATGTGTGAAGGATTTCAGAAAGGCTGACAGGAGGTATGAAGTTGCTGCCTCAGGTTTGAAATCTCCTCCTAAGAAGAGTGGCCTGAAAGAGTGTGCGCGTTCCTGAATCTGGCACACCCACGTCCAGCGCCCACCACCTGCGCCACCCGTGGACCAGTCTTGCCATCCATGCCACAAGGACGACCTTGCGGGAATGTACTCCTCCTCCTCATTCTCATTCTCTTCAAAGGGATGCCATTGTCCCTCTTTATTGTACCAGAAGACCCTTTCCTTGCCCTTGTTCTTCTTACGTCTCTTCGCAGGGCCAGGCTTCCAATAAATGTCCTTACACACATAGAATGCCGTCAGAAGATGTGACAGGTAGACAGGATGTCAGAAGATATGCCAGTTAGAGTTAGGATGGCCGGCGCAAGATATACCAGGTAGAAGAACGCCGGAAAGGAGGTCAGACTATATATGCCAGGTAGAATGCCAGAAGATGTGCCAGGAAGGATATCAAAAGGTATGCAAACTAGAAAGTCAGAACAGTTGCCAATGCCAAAGCAAATGTCTGGGCGTACGTCGAAACAAGTGGCAGCAGTGACACCGAACAACCGCCGACCGACACCCACACCAGATTGTCTTAGACGGCTCGATGCAGCCAAGTTCGACCACTTTTGTTAGCTAATCTGCGCTGATTGGAGCAAAACTACATGTCCAAGTTCGACCGTTTGTCTACGCTGAGTTGGGCAATTTGGGGAATGGCTTTGTGTAGGGTATGTTCGGTCATGTTCAAGGTCGTGTTGCAGAGGGCGGTGGCACTGAGGAAGCCGCAGGCAACAGCGACCAAAGCTGGGCAAACACTCCCGTTATAAGGGACCGGGCGGGTTCGGGGGGGCCGGCCCCCCAGGTCCATCTGGCGCCATCACCGCCACCGCCAAGAACAAGAAGACAAAGCGCATTCCCATTGAAGCAAAGACTGAGGGTCCAGACTAAGGAGCGGCCTGCTGCGCGTTCAATTAAACCACGACGTGAACTTCTACTTCCGGGAAACCTTCGTCCAAAACCCGTCTATCAGACCTCCTCCATTCCCACGCGCTACGCCTCCTTACTCTTTAATCGTAGGAGACATTAGCCTTGCGTCACGCCGACGAGGAGACACGCGCCTCCTTCAAATCACGCTAGACCCCATTTCAGAGAACAGACGTGCCTCCTTGTGCGTGCAGCAGGAGACACGCGCCTCCTTATTTTACGTTCCTTCTCAGAGAAGGTAGCCGCCTACACCGCCTTTTTTTGAGGGCTCTGTGACTCATGCTGGGCTCCATTTCAGAGGAGACAGACATCCCTCCTTGCGCACCAGGAATCATAGTCAACCACTCTCGCAAAGTCCTTGTAACTCGACGACTCCATCAATGCCAACTTTGCGCCACTTCTGAGTTCCCACACCTGGCCGTCGGCGAGGGATGAGGCGCAGCAGGAAGTGTTGAGGAAGTCAAACTTGATCACCCTCCGGGAGAAACTCATGGTGGCCCCAAGGAAGTCCCGTCCAAGTAGAAGACCAAGTGAAGGGACCCCGATGACCATAGGAAGCCGCCACCTGCAGACCTGAGTGCCACCATCACCAAAACGAAACACTTCTCTTTCGGGGCTGTTGTCCACCAAAGACCAAATCTCATCAGGGGCAGCTCGAAGGCGGCTTCAAGGTAGCTGATCAACAACTGAGGACCTGTGACGGTTCTGCCAACCGCTTCTCATGAGACAACGTGCCAACAGCATGAACTTCACGAGGTGGGGTTTGTGGAGATTGCACAACTTCACCTATAGGCGAGCAATTCCGACGGACACGTCACAGCAAAAGCTTCGTGAGAGGCTTTTTGAGGGGGGCAATCTTCAACAACATGCTCGGAGCTGAGGGTCTCCACAACCTTCAAGGCTTTCGGTTTCATTGGAGGCGGACCTTTTCTGCCAAGGCCAGCTCCTGGCTTGGTGCACTCTGAATCACCAGCCCAGTGGCCGGGAAGGCCACAGCACCAACCTTGGATTTGGGGTCCGCTGCAGCTTTACCATAGCCATAGCCGCGAACTTTCTTCACCTCGGCAAGCTTCTGTCTGGCCTCGCGCATGGGCCTATTGAGTTCCAGGAAGCACTTATTCGCCCTGTCCTTAATCGAGGTCTCCGTGTCCGCAAGGATCACCCTCAAGGAAGGCTGTGAACAAAGCTCTCGTGCAAAGAGCAACCACAAGACCAGAGCAAAGCCGAAGGCGCCCGCAATGCCACCAACCAAGGGAGCACGAGTAGGGCTCGAGGACAAAGGCCGCGATCAAAGGCTCCGGTGCCACTGTGAACAGCCACCAACAAAGCTTATGGCAGCCGACCGCAAGGTTTTCGCCGGACCCAAAAGGCGTAAGGGGTCAAGATCTGTCAAATGGCCGCGGTGCGATCAAAGGCTCAAGACATGCACCGCCAAGCAAAGCACTTCATACTGGTTATAGAATCGGTCACTACCTGGATCACCTAGACTCAGGAATGGGTTTCCCCATCCATTGCATCGCACATCGCGCGAAAACCCCTGAAACGCCCACAACTACCCAGACCAGTTGCATTCATAGATCCATTCGACAAGCAACGCACCGCCTCAAACAGCACCATTCAACAGTTCACAAGCAGCAGCACAGGGCTTGCAACGGCTGAATGCTCTTGTGGGTGATATCCCCCGACAATGGGATACGATCTGATCTCACTGTTTAGCGATTATATAGTAGTAAGCTGGCAATGTCCAGTATTGTCAGGTGAATGCTTATCCCTGTCATACAACATAAGGAGCGGACTTTCTCGTTTTCCCTGCAAAAAGCTGAATAGCAACGTCAAATGCAGTCAGGTCGAGCCCAAACCTCAAAGCTACCGTCCACCCAAACTTCTTGCGGTGATATGCAGTCTGATATCCTTTTGCCATGCGGAGCTCTCGGCCAGACCTTCCATATGCGACAAGCTTTGTTGCAAACATGTTACCAAAAATATACGAGATTCAATGCTCAACGTTTCTCCATGCCGGCATACACATGAGTTCGCACCCAGCTCGCCTACAATGCCCACAAGGAGACCTCAAAGAAGCCAATCATGAAATATCATGAACGAATTGGGCTTCAAGTGGAATGGTTCAAGGTAAAACCACGTCCTGGCGCTGCAAAAAGTCTTGGTCAACTGGCTTTAGAGTTGTCAAACTATAGTTCATCCTCTAAAGGGGCGATCAAAGCGCCGTTCAACAGCAAGCTTGTGACCCCTTGTTGGTGTTTGTCCAACTTGCACGGGGGACCCGCACGCGAGCTCTGTCATCTCCTCCTTCTTGGCAGCCGGTGGCGGCTTGAACCGATGATGAGGCCGATGCAAGAAAATGATCAAAGTTGAAAGCGAGTGGCATCATGGCCTTCAAACAATCTTTCAATCGAAAAATATCGAAAGCCTCAACACCAAGAATAGTAAAAATGATCGCCGGTTTGTTGTGACCTGTCCTTGTCTGCATGTTTTAAACGGAGTGTCGGCAGGGTGTCACATATGGGTCCATATCAGTGCATTGATCAAATCTGAGCCTAGCTATCATCTTGCAAGTGAAGCAAGACGGAAAGCAAAGAGGGTGTAGTATGGAACAATTGCATATGAATACAGGTTGCCTGTAGTGTGTCCAAGCATCTGGATGTCCAAAAGGTTATTGCCGAATATTGCTGATCTGCATGTCCAAGTACAGAATCAAAAAAAATTAACTCGAGCACTAAGATGAAGCAAGTGCAAGACGTATCTCAAGTGTGTTTTTTCTGAGCCGTGACGGGTCCGCAACAGGTCTCCCTTTTCGTAGCTCGCACTCAGGTCTTGGCCACTTTCCGCCCAGTCCTATCAGAAGAAAGGCCACAAATGGAAAAGCAGAAGCTCAGCTGAGCTCTGGATCCTCTGGACTTCTTCTGGACTTTCTGTGGACTAGCAGTGATAGGACGGGACTCATGAGCATGTTAGTGCTGCAAGAGTCTCCATGTCAAGCGGGAAGACTTCTACTTATATATGTAGATCGTACTTGTTGGGTGATCAGGAATGTGGATTGTAAACGGATTGTTGCCAGGCCTCAACATCTTCTTCTTGCTTCTTTTGACGACAGCCTCCGCACAGCGCCGGTGGCATTCTGTTAGACGCGGCACGTCTGAATCATTCCAAATTGCCAATGGTTCTCGGTTCTCCTCTCTCCTCGGAGCTCCTCCCTCTAGAGCCACTTTTCGTCCCCGAGCGCCGCCGCCCGGAATTCGGGCGACAAAAGCACAGCCGAGTCTGGCACGGCCGGGTCTGGCGCTGCCTGTGCAAGTTGAGAGAACCTCTCCCCTCAACTTGCAAAAGAGAAGCAGTACACATAAAAGGCCATTGTGCTCAGATGATCCACATTGTGTTCTCCAATTGTTCATATTGATTGTTCTGGAGGGTGGGAATTGGCAAGACTGGTCGCTACAAAGGATTGATGTTTGCATCTGTTTGCTTTAATAGTCAACGGGGACCGGGAGAACCATGACGGGGAAATGGTCATCCAAGTTTGTCCAGGTCGACTTCGCCCAGAGGACTGGAGGAGGTTAAGGCGATGTGTCACTGTGCTCGCCGCTATACAACCCTCCAGGAACCCTGGGCATCGAGACAATCAGTTGGGCCGAGTTCAGGCTGATCTTGCAAGATTGGAACAAGGAATTCAAAGGGTCCTAGAAGGTGTGGGCCCCAAGCAATACCACTTTTCAGAAACTGGAGGATCTGCAATACCCACCATGTTTGTTTGAGCAAAAAGAAACAGCTCAACGGCTCTCCATGACGAAAAATGGCCACCTTCGGACCGACACCAAAAGCTCACACAGAAGCTTCCACCGAAGGCGAAGCTGTTTCTTGCTCGCGTTTCTCCAGATGGCGCTTGATCACACACGCAGTGAGGTAGCCGGGCATCGTGAGCACTGCGAAGGTCAGTAACAAGTACAACTCCTGCGCAGCGCGCGGCACAGGGAGTTGGGGGCTGCTTGCGGCGGACGGCACATGGTCACAACATGGATAGCACATCTTGTCTGACATCTGCTAGAGGTCAAATAGGAACAGCATTCGTGGTTGCGCAAGTCTATCTGCTAGTCTATCTTGGTGCAACACCAACCCCCGAAAGCACGAGCTGAGGTTGAAATGCTGCATAGTCAGGCCTTTTGCACTCCAAACAATTGCACCTGTCCCCACAAAAAGTAGGGTTAAAAATGCACCAGCTTGTTTCGGAAGGTTTGTTGCCTCTACGGGGGAGTGCATCCGAGGGATTCTGTTGACGGTGAATCTGAAGCTGTAATCTCTGTTGCGCTGTGGAATTGTCTTCAAGTCTAGACTGCTTGGCATTAGCAAACCCTTTTCACTTTGGGGTTTGCTTGAGACGCATTGGACGGACTGGATCAAAACCTAAGATTTATCCGACCCTCTGTCTAGTCATATACTTACTTGCGGATTGGAGCAAAACTCTGCCCAGGTTCGCCAAACTCACCTCCTGCAAAAAACCAACCTCAATGACACAGCAAAACAGGAAACCTCACACGCGTCAGACTGGTGCTGCGTTTCTCCTGTGCTTCGTTCTTTTGTATTTCTATTTGTGTCTCTTGACGGTTGACCATTGTTTTCGCAAGTGCACGAAAGGCCAAAGATACGCTTTGCCCAACCCCTCCACAACACTCACCCTGAAGGCGCAACGACACAACCTCAAGTGCAATATGCATTTCTGTTTCCCATGTTTGCCATCAGCCGCCCCTTCACTCCTCACTGGCTTTCCCCACTGCACCCAGAGTGAAGGCCACTGTTGAGGCTGAGGTCCCGAAGACAAAAACGTTCGCAAACGCCCCAGCACTCTTCTCCCCTGGGAAGAAGTCTGCGAAAATGGCCTTGTTGGTGCTTTCATACCTCGGGGTTGAGGCCAAAGCAAGCGCAGTGAGGCATGTGTCACGAGATGGGGGAGCTTCGGATGTGTTTGGGACCAGTTGCGTGGTCCAAAGGCATCAAAACACTAGGAAAGCCTGCGCGACCAGTGAAGCAAAGGACAGGAGCCTTGACTCACATATCTATCCAAAAAGGAACCGTCTCTTTCAAAAGAGGCCGTGGCCCTGCGTGAATCTATCTGGCCAAGTCTCGAGAGGACTGCGCACCAGAAGCGGGTCTTGTGAGTAATTACAGTAATCCCCGATGAATGGAACTACCCAATGGAAATGATTTATGTTCATCAACCGACAACAAACGTAGCTGAAGGATAGTCTCTGGTAAACAGAACAACAGTTTGTTGCACAGCTGAAGGACCTTATGGTCTTCTATTTGCAGACAGCCGAGCGACACCGCTCGGCCAAGGCCCATGAGCAGGTAGAAAACCAAGACACCCCAGCCCCAGGTTGCCGGCTTCCCCACATATTGGCCTTGGACACCCAACCGACCCAACGTAGGCCGGCGGAAGCATGCAGAAGCGCACAAGCGCACACAAGACCAGGGAGATCTATGATGATCTATGCGAGAACTTCACTTTTCGGGATGGTTCACTTTTTGATCTTTTTGTAACATCTATATAACTCTGACTCAAGCTGTGAGCACGAAGGAAATGGTTGCTCAAAGCCAAACAAAAACAGCAAGGGCCAACTCCTTCCGCAATGACCACATCATCTATCTATGCCAAGCAAAAGCTCTTGTGGCTGTGCTTGTCAAGGGTCATTGAAACTGCATCCAGTGCACGGGTGAACCAGCTGCCAATTCCTTTGAGACCCTCAAACCATCCGAAAACATCCGAAACCCGTCAGGCATTCGTGTCGACCTGTGCTGAAATCGAGCTGCTGAGGATTCCCAGGAAAAGGAACGCCATCGAGCCCAAAGCCACCACTGGGCCTTTGCCCATCCTTCGGGCGACTTGGCCTCGCCCAAGCGTGGTGGCCGAAACATGTGAGGGGCTTGATCGAGTGGTGAGAAAAGCTGCGAACATGTTGGTCTTTGAAAAGCTATATTGGGTGTGCATCAAAATAGGGAGACCTCCCAAAGACCCCGAGAAGGGAATTGATAGTCCAAAACTGCCTAAGACTTGCCAGCCTTGCAAGGGGCCACAGTTCGCCGGCAAACCGAGCCAACCCAACAGAGTAAAAGATACCACCAATCCGGTGCCATCATGTGTCCAATCCCACACCGCATCCTGCCTAGCACCAAGGACAATCCACTGGCCAAAGCCGAGAGCAAGGCCCCTGCATAGCCGATGAACTCGCTACTCAACGCCTCGGTGAGGATCTCTCGGCCGATGTGTCCACCCAGCCATGCGGCCGCAAAGCCGAACCTCAGTCGTCTCCCCGGGTCTCCCCGGGGGAGACGCGGTCTCGGATCTCGTGGGCGTTCTCCAGGTGAACCAGTGTTGAAGTCGAAGATGGGATGAGATGATAGGTGAAACGAAAATGACTAGTAGCTTCTTGCTCCTAGTAGCGATGCCTTTTGTTCCTAGTGGCTTCTTGCTCCTATTAGTAAGGCCAGGAGCCCCTAGTAGCTTCTTGTTCCTAGTTATTTGGAGCAAAAATGCTTCCGTCAACAACTTGTTTTGGCCCATAGGG